CCCCAAAACCCCAAAACCCCAAAACCCCAAAACCCCTATTACAGATTTAAAATAAAATTATTGCAATATAAATAAAATAGAGCAGTGAAACTCTAATGGCTTATAATTACAGATACGAAAGCAACAAAGAGAATGGTCATGGGACTACAGAAATGACAGATATTCCTAATATTAGATCAAAGATCAATTATGCTAAGGACTCAAAAGCTGATCATTCAAGGAGCGTTTCTCCTTCGAAATATGGTACAGGACCATCTGGCGCGATATCATCTTCAGATGTTGTGACCATGAACGAGAAGAAAGTTAGAGATAATATTAAATTCGCAAATAATTCTGGAAGTATTGGGCCATATTTGAAGTTTGACCAGACAACTCCTTCTCCAAAAGTTCCAAAAGTAGGAGCTCCAGCCACCTCATATGCATCTAATTTTAGTCCAGGAAAGAGCCGGGAACCAGCCAAACTTTCTCTTAATGACTCTTACATATCTAAGAGGAGCAATGGAAATCCTTCTATGGGATTGCGCCATATGGCCAATGGAGATGCTATGTATGGAAGAGGGCCACTTAACAGTTCAATAGATTTCAAAAGTCCTGGATCTAACAAACCCATCTACGCAAAGAGTATGAACCTGGACAAAACTGACGATTTTAGGTTCAAAAAGAATTTGACGACTAATGCAGATAGAATTTTGGGGAAACCAGGAGCTCCTGCCTATTCACCGATGATAAGTAATTCTTCTAAGTTTGATGAGCTCAAGAGAAGTCCTCATGGTTATGACACTGATGCCAATAATTATAAGAAGCCAGAGATGCAGCACTATAGAACAATTAACAATGTAGGAGTCCAAGAAAATTACAACTCGAATAATATTGTCAAGCCTCATTCTCCTAGATCAAAGCATGCTGAGCCTGCTGGGGGATACAATGCTGCTCACTTGAAGAGAACAATGGGTTTGGCTCCTACAGATGCAATCAATTATTCTCCTTCGTTAAAGCCAGGAATGAGCCCAACTATCAGTACTAAGAAGATGGTTACTAATACTTCAGTACCAACTCTCAATGATCCTTCCTTCCACAGACACAAGAACTTTAACAGCTATGGTTTTGATACCATTAATGGAGTACAGAAGGGATCTACTTACAGAGAGTTATAAACGTAAGTATTATCTCAGAATTTAACCAATCCTTTCTCAAATCATAGCCTTGATTCTTCTTCAACAAACTTGCTTAAAAAACTGTAAATTACAATCTACAAAAGCCTATTACCATATTTATCCCATTCTCTACCCGTTCCATTCCTCCAAATCACCCAAAACTACCTCCTAACCTCAAAAAATACAGATTGAATCTCTCAAAAATCAGGAAGAACCAGACCCAACTCTTCATACCCACTCCTAGCACCATAAAGCTTCTTATACCTATAAGACTTTAGAATACACATCTCTGGCTTCCATTTCAACTCAAATATTTAGTCAGGGGTTTTGGGGTTTTGGGGTTTTGGGGTTTTGGGGTTTTGGGGTTTTGGGTTTTTGGGGTTTTGGGG